GAGAGAGAGAGAGAGAGAGAGAGAGAGAGAGAGAGAGAGAGAGTGATTTAATTCTGCCTTCGTGCATGCCTGTGTGCCAAATTATGTTCTCCCGTTCTATGTTTCAGAATGCTCTCTCCACTCCTATCAGCAAGTTGGAGTGCCATCTGCATCCTGTAGTATGCAATTGTGTGTTTAAGATTCCCTGTTGCTCTTCTAGTGCTGTTCCATATGGAACCATGGTGTGGTCCCAGATGGAACCTGGTGTTGATGGGGTCTGGCAACGCAGAACGAGGAGAAACAAAAGAGACGGGTAGGCAGGCCTCTCCTCCTTCGCAGTAGTCTTCAGTAATCGCATATCTGTCCTTGAAAGTGGAGTGGATTTTTTTATATTTTTTTGGCCTTATTAGTAAGTTATTACCATTTTTTTTTTTCCAAATGGAATAGAATTATAGAACACCATTTTTTTGAATTTTCAAATGGAATAGGATAGTTATAGTTGCTGGGGCCAACGGCCTAGCGCAGGTGGTTTCACGTGCAAGTGGCATTCAGGAGGCCGTGGGTTCGACTCCCCACGGCCGCCTGCGGCGTGCTTGGTGCTCACCAGCTGAGATAGGTGGCTTGCTCTCCCCCCTGGTTGGTCTGGGTAGAGTCCTGGGTTCTCCTAGAGGCCTTCACCCCTGCCATTACTCGCTGAGGGTTAGTTCCCAGGTCTGGCAGGTTTTGGTCGCTCTCTGAGCCTTGTGGATTTCGGTTGCCCCCCCCCCCCCCCCCTCCCCTCTTCCTGGCGTGCTTAGTCATATAGGTAGGAGGTAGCATAAGGTGTTCTTGAGAGAAGACTATGTACATGCAGATGTCGACCCCATAGACCAGCGCCAAGACCAGGTACGTGCCCTCACATCACCATCTTCATTTTTCTCCCTATCTCGCTCACCCTCGACTTCTACTCTCACGTCTTCCCCAAACAGGAAGACGACCACCACCTCCGCTGAACTTCCAAGCGGAGCCCGCCTATGGATGGGCTGGCTATAGCGCTGCCCTCAGCAGCGCCCGTTTACCTCTCGCGTCTGCGCGCATTTACGAGCATTACTGCCAGCGCCGGCTAGAAGCCCACAAGCGCAAGCTCCAGCAGCGCTGCCGCTTGCACAGCAAGTGCCCGAATGCCTTCCCAAGGCCCCCGACACTTTCCTATATCGAAAGAGCAGGCACGCTGCCTGCCGTCTGCCTCCGGGACCGAGTTTCTCGGAGCTTCACTCTCGGCCAAAGTGTCTGCGCCCAGGCCCGTTCAGACAGTGGCCTGGGACCGAATTGGTTAGGCATGCCCAGCCTCACAGGCACAAACGTGCAGTGTACCCCGCTTTCACCACGTTGCTGGAAGAGCCTGGAAGGCTCACAAATATATCAGATTCTCGTGAGCAAAGCAGATGTAACCAACTGGCATGTGGCAACTGTCCGATGCCCACCAAGAGTTGCAAAAATTGACGAACTGCGGCCTGGTTGGAAATTCAGGGGCCTGCTTTCACTTAGGGCGGGCACGCGCCCATTGCAGGTGCCTTATGCAGGTATGCCAAGGGGTAAAACCCTTGCAATACCTTAGCCGGGGAAAAAAAAGAAAAAAAAAGAAAAAAAAAGAAAATAAAAGGAAAAGGCAACGATGCCTATTGTTGTTGGTCACAATTTCCAAAAGCTAAGTTTCAGCAAGCCAACTCCTTTCTCAACTCAGGTGTCCGGTCATGTTTACCACATACGGCCTCTCTACTAATCCTGTGAATATGCCGCTTACCCCCCCTAAGTCGTGTTGCAGTTTTAGTGTGTGTGTGTGTGTGTGTGTGTGTGTGTGTGTGTGTGTGTGTGTGTGTGTGTTTTTAATAGCCTGAACCCACCTGATTCATGTTGCAGGTTTTTTTTTTCTTTTTTTTCTTTTTTCCGGAAGCCTGACCTTGGATTACTCGTGTTGCAGTTCTATGGAACTATCACGGTGATTGTGACAACTTCATGGTATTGAAGGGCCACAAGAATGTGGTGCTGGAGTTGCACTGGACCACAGATGGTCACCACATAGTATCAGCAAGTCCTGACAAGACTGTCAGAGTGTGGGATGCAGAAACCGGTAAACAGGTCAGGTATCGTGCGATTCATCTCATACTGGGAACCCCTCTTTCCTTCTCATCATTATCCCAGTTCTTCGCGTGATAATCATTCCTTCATTCTGCAACGAATATTTGAGCCCTGTTCTGTGCCCTCATCTTCTGCCCACTTTTTCTCTGCTCATCATTCCTTTCATTTTGAGGGGACTTGAGCCCTCGTTCTTCCGCCCTCTTTTCTCCCGTGATCTGTCTCCCCCCCCCCCCCCCCCCCCCCCCCCGCCCTCTTATCGTTCCTTCATTTGAAGGTGAAATGAACCCTCTTTCTACTGCAAACGTCTTCTCCTCTTATCATTCCTTCAGCCTTAGGCGAAATGAGCCCTTCTTTCTTCCTTGCCTTTCTTCCCCCTGCTTCTCCCCAAAACATCATTCCTTCATTTTGAGGCGAATTCGTTGTTGGCAGGTTGATCAGCCTTCCTCCTTAGCATCTTGTCTGACTGGGGAAAGCAGGTAGAAACTGGTGTTGATAGGACCATAAGGCCCTGTTAAAAAAAAAAAAAAAAAAAAACCTGGTTTTGATGCTGTCCGCTGTCTTCACACTCAGTATCTGTCGCTGAGGCCTCAGCAGCTGAGGAGGTTAGAGCTGGTCACACTTTTGTTAGGGGGTTTACCGCTGGTAAATTACTAAATTAGCTGTCAGTGCCGTTATTCGGGGTCCTCACTCAGTAAACGGGTGTAGATTAATCTGGCTATCGTGTGTCATCTTCCTGCGTTCGGTTTACACTTTTTCCTTTTTTTTCTCTGTACTTTCTTATCATTTTTGTTAGCTTGTTGCAGAGCCTCTGCACATATGTTGGTGCGGACAATCAGCAGGGAAGGAAGTCTAAGACCGTAAAACCTCAATGACTGCACGCCAGACATCCCATATATATAAGATGGGATGATGATATCGTGCTAGCCGAGTTTAGCATCTCATCGAGCTGCGTTTGGAACGTTGTATGCATCGTGATTCTCTGTGACCTTATCTGTCCATTGTGTCGCGTCTACAAGTGCTTTCCTATTTACAAGTCAGCGAGCTCAGCAAACAGGACAAGAGGGAGGGGGAGGAGGGGGGGG